AATATGTTCTTATAATTGTTTGTATTTCTTTGGTGTTGGTTGTGATCTCTCCTCTTTCATTCATGATTTTATTTATTTGGGTCATTTCTCTTTTCTTTTGGATAAGTCTGGCCAGGGGTTTATCAATCTTATTAATTCTTTCAAAGAACCAGCTCCTAGTTTCGTTGATCTGTTCTACTGTTCTTTTGGTTTCTTTTTCATTGATTTCTGCTCTGATCTTTATTATTTCTCTTCTTCTGCGGTTTTAGGCTTTATTTGCTGTTCTTTCTCCAGCTCCTTTAGGTGTAGGGTTAGGTTGTGTATTTGAGACATTTCTTGTTTCTTGAGAAAGGCTTGTATTGCTTATATACTTTCCTCTTAGGACTGCCTTTGCTGCCTCCCAAAGATTTTGAACAGTTGTGTTTTCATTTTCATTTGTTTCCATGAATTTCTTTAATTCTTCTTTAATTTCCTGGTTGACCCATTCATTCTTTAATAAGATGCTCTTTAGCCTCCATGTATGTGAGTTCTTTCCAACTTTCCTCTTGTGATTGAGTTCTAGTTTCAAAGCATCATGGTCCGAAAATATGCTGGGAATGATCCCAATCTTTTGGTACTGGTTTAGACCCGATTTGTGACCCAGGATGTGATCTGTTCTGGAGAATGTTCCATGGGCACTAGAGAAGAATGTGTATTCTGTTGCTTTGGGATGGAAGGTTCTGAATATATCTGTGAAGTCCATCTGGTCCAATGTGTCATTTAAAGCCTTTATTTCCCTGTTGATCCTTTGCTTAGATGATCTGTCCATTTCAGTGAGGGGGGTGTTAAAGTCCTCCACTATTATTGTATTATTGTCAATGTGTTTTTTGATTTTGTTATTAATTGGGTTATATAATTGGCTGTTCTCATGTTAGGGGCATAGATATTTACAATTGTTAGATCTTCTTGTTGGATAGACCCTTTAAGTAGGATATAGTGTCCTTCCTCGTCTCTTATTATAGTCTTTGCTTTAATATCTAATTTGATATAAGGATTGCCACTCCAGCTTTCTTTTGATGTCCATTGGCATGGTAAATTATTTTTCCACCCCCTCACCTTAAATCTGTAGTCTAAAATGAGTCTCTTGCAGACAGCATATCGATGGGTCTTGTTTTTTTATCCAATCTGATACCCTGTGTCTTTTGATAGGGCCATTTAGCCAATTTACATTCAGGGTAACTACTGAAAGATATGAATTTAGTGCCATCGTATTGCCTGTAAAGTGACTGTTACTGTATATTGTCTCTGTT